TTATACTTTTCTTTCTTTATTATCTGGATTAATCTTTTCTCCTTCTGATGGAGTAACTGGTGTTTCAACTTGAACATCAATATGATGTTTTCCTGGTTCTTTAGCAACATATTCAACATCATAGGTACCATCTTCATTATCTTTAACAGTAACTTCAGCAGCAATAGTTGGTCCTTGAACTGTAACATTGAATTTTTGTCCTCCTTTCTTAAGTTGTTCACCTGCTCTATTTCTTGTAACAATCTTAAATGGTGCTGGTGTTTTTGTTTCTGCATTTTCTAATCCTTCTCCTTCAGCAGTACAATTAAGAGCATCAGGAATTTCATCAAAGACAAGTACATCAACTGGAGTATTTTCTACTGGTTCATCATTAACAACAACTTCAATTTTGTGCATTCCTGGAACAACTGGAGTATAACCAACATCATAAGTTCCATCACCATTATCTTTGACTTCACATGGAACTTCATTTCCTTGTGGGTCAATTACTTTAACTTTTACATCATCTCCACCATGTCCAAGATCTTTACCATTATTATCTTTACCAGTGATTTTAAAGTCTGCTGGAATATTAACCTCTCCTGTTTTAAGTCCATCTCCATCAACCAAGGAAGTTGATCCTCTCATCTTCTTTGGTTTAAACTTAACGGAAACATCAAGGTCATGTTTTTCAAGAAAAGCTTTTAATTGAAGAACTAATGGTTCAACATCAGCCTCTGATTCAATATTGAAATTAGGTGGTTCGTCTGGATTAACTTGTGGTTCTTCTGGGTTGACTTGTGGATTATTGGTTTGTTCTTCAGTCATTTTGTTTATGTTTTCAAGTTCTTTATCATCTTTTAAATCCTTTTAATTCTAAGAGTTAACCTTTGATATTTTTAGTATTCTTTTGGGGATTGAAGGTGTCATTTTAAGTTCTTTTAAAGTTAGTAGTTCTGATGAAAAGATTAATGTTATAAATAACGGTTTTTTATAATGAGTTGATATAAAATAACATTATATTATAAATTAGTACATGTTCAAACAAAGAAGGATTTCATTCAAACAAAAGTAAACAAAGAAAATGAATTTAAATTATACAAAGAGACTCTTAACTTGTCTAAAAGTTAAGACATAGTGATGACTTATTAGTACAACGTTCAATAGGAATATCTTTATTTACTACAGATTCAGTTCCTACAATAACAAAGTCTTCTTCATAATCAAGAAACATATTTTCTACTTGATCAAGGTCGTTTGTTGTTGGTTTAATTAAACCTGAAGGACGAACGTATTGTTTGACTACTATAAGTGGTGTTTTTTGACAGTAAATAGTTTTGCTTTTGATTAAATGTGTAAAGGATGTGTTGAAACTCATATTTGAATTAATAATTTTTTTCAATTCCCTTTTAAATATTTGCTGGTGTATTTCTGGAATGTAACATTTTCGACAATCCATCATTCTATTCCATCAACTCTTTTTTTGAAATACCCACTACAACAATTTAATTCTTTTTTAAATTACGAAGCATAAGTGAAATTTTTATTTTAAACCAAATGAAAATAACGTTTCAATGTATCTTTTTTTAAGTTATGGAGAAAAAGACTTGCCGTCATTCTTTATTTCGTAAATCATTTTCTTTGAATATCTTTAAAAAATATCGTTATGTTCAAATATATGACTTTTCATTGTTCTATTCTGGGTTTTTAGAAATCAAATGATACTCTTTTTTGTTTTCAATTTCATAAGATGGTTTGTATTTATTTTAGAAAAATCTTTTTTGATTTTCTTGATTTTTATTTGATTTTGTTTTGATTTCAACAACAGTTTCACATTATTCTTGAAACTGTAATCATAAGAAAAAGTAACATATTTCTCAGTTACCAAAAAAATTTAGAATTAACTTTTGAAGAAAAATAATAAAAGAGTATTAAAGAAAAAAGGTTTTGTAATAAACTACTTCGGTTGTTTGTATCTGATAACAAATTTAATTAATAAAGTC